CCACACCCTTCATGTTAAAAACTCTCAATTAACTAGATGTTGAAGGAACATGTCTTGAAATAATAAGAGCCATTCATTACAAATCTGCAGCCAGGATCATACTGAATGGGCAAAAGCTGGAGGCACTCCCCTCAAAAACCAGCACAAAACAAGGATGCACTATATCACCACACCTATTCAACATAGTATTGGAAGCCCTCACCAGAGCAATCAAACAGAAATAAAGGGCATCCAAACAGGAAGAGAGGAAGCCAAACTATCCCTGTTTACAGACAATATTATTTTATATTTAGAAAACCCCATAGTTGAAGCTGAGATCGGGCCATTGCCCTCCAAGCTGGGCAACAGAGCAAGATTCCGTTTCCAGAGAAAAAAGAAAACCCCATAGCCTCAGCCAAAAATCTCCTTAAGCTGATGAACAACTTTAGCAGTCTCAATATACAAAATCAATGTACAAAAATAACTAGCACTCTTACACACCAACAACAGTCAAGATGAGAACCAAATCAGGAATTCAATCCCATTCACAATGCCCACACAGAAAAATATTTAGGAATATAGCTAACAAGGGAGGTGAAAGAGCTCTACAAGGAGAACTACAAAGCACTGCTTAAAGAAATCAGAGATGACACAAGCAAATGTAAAACCCAAAAAACTTTCATGCTCGTGAATAGGAAGAGGCAATATCATTAAAATGGCCATACTGCCCAAAGCAGTTTGTACACTCGGTGCTATTTATATTTAACTACAATGATATTCTTTGCAGAACTAGAAAAAAACAGGCCAGTCCTGGTGGCTCATGCCTGTAATCCCAGCACTTTGGGAGGCCAAGCAGGGTGGATCACTTAACATCAGGAGTTCAAGACCAGCCTGGCCAACACAATGAAATCCCATCTCTACTAAAACTACAAAAATTAGCTGGGTGTGGTGGTGCACACCTGTAACCCCAGCTACTCAGGAGGCTGAAGCAGGAGAATTGCTTGAACCTGTGAGGCTGAAGTTTCGGTGAGCCATGATGACATCGCTGCATTCCAGCCTGGATGACAGAGCGAGACTCTGTCTGGAAAAAAAAAGAAAAAGAAAAAAACGGTTTTAAAGTTCATATGGAATCAGAAAAGCTGGAATAACCAAGGCAATCCTAAACAAAAAGAACAAAGCTGGAGGCATCAGGTTACCCGACTTCAAACTATACTACAGGGCTACAGTAACCCAAACAGACATATATGCCAATGGAACTGAAGAGAGAACCCAAAAATAAGGTCACATACCTCCAACTATTCTTTGACAAAGCTAACAGAAACAAGCACTGGGGAAAAGATTCCCTATTCAGTAAATGTCTCTTGAATGACTAGCTAGCCATATGCAAAAGATTGAAGCTGGATACTTTTTTACACCATATATAAAAGTCAACTCAAGATGGATTAAACTCTTAAATGTAAAACCAAAAACTATAAAAATCCTGGAAGACAACCTAGGCAATACCATCCCAGACATTGGAATAACCAAAGATTTTATGAGAAAGACACAAAAAGCAATCACAATCAAAAATTGACAAATGGGGTCTAATTAAAATTAAGAGCTTCTGCATGGCAAGAGAAACTATCAACAGAGCAAACAGTCTACAAAATGGGAGAAAATATCTGCAAACTATGAATCTGACAAAGCTCTAATATCCAGCATCTATAAGGAGCTTAAACAAATTTACAAGAGAAAACAACCCCATTAAAAAGTTGGCAAAGGATATGAACAGACACTTTCCAAAAGAAGACCTACATGCAGCCAACAGGCATATAAGAAAAACCCGGTATCACTGATGATCAGAGAAATGCAAATCAAATCCACAATGAGATACTATCTCACACCAGTCAGAATGGCTGTTATAAAAAAGTCGGAAAACAACAGATGCTGGCAAGGTTGTAGAGAAAAGGGAACACATAAACTGTTGGTGGGAGTGTTAATTAGTTCCACAATTGTGGAAAGCTGTATGGTGAGTCCTTAGAAAGCTAAAAGGAGAACTACTATCCCACCCTAAAAGCAGAACTAGCATTCCACCCAGCAATTCCATTACTGTGTACGTACCGAGGGAAATATAAAGCATTCTACCGTAAAGACACATTCATGTGAATGTTCGTTGCAGCACCATTGACAACAGCAAAGACATGGGATCAACCTAAATGCCCAGCAGTGACCGATTGGCCCAAGAAAATGTGGTACATATACACCACGGAATATAATGCAACCACAAAAAAGAATAAGGTCATGTCTTTTGTGGGAACATGGATAAAGCTGGAGGCCATTATCCTTAACAAACTAATGCAGGAATAGAAAACTAAATACCACATCTTCTCACTTATAAGTGGGAGCTTAATGATGAGAACTCATGAACACAGAGAAGGGAACAGCAAACACTAAGGTCTGCTTGAGGGTGGAAGGTGGGAGGAGGGAGAGGAGTAGAAAAGATAACTATCAGGTACTAGGCTTAATACCTGGGTGATGAAATAATATGTACAAGAAACCCCCATGACACAAGTTTACCTGTGGAACAAACCTTCACATGTACCCTCAAACCTAAAATAGATGTTAACAACAACAAAAGAAAATGTAATTGTCTGAAGTGTAACTCTCAGTCCTGGACTAAGATGTACCAGAAATGTAACTTTATTTTCCCATAATGATTTTTATTCTAGTGCTTATTCTGGCTTGAAAACTTAATATGTTTGTTTTATGAAAATTTAATATGAGTAAATGTGAGTCTCCACATTATTTTCCTTTAAATAGTGGCTAAATCACTGGGGCCTTGCGTGGTGCCAGGACCTTACAGGAGGCCACATCTTGGTTTTATCGCCTGGTTCTCAATCCCAAGCCTACATAGTTTATTGTGAAAGATTGCTTCTTCCTGATTCCATTGCCTTTCTCGTTTCTGACTCCTGTGGTTCTGGACTTCTGCCATGGAGCACACATGAAGTTCCTGTGGACATGTGCTTCCTGGTCCCCATGGGCCACTGCTCTCGAGGCTGTCAGTGACCTATCTGCCTGGGCTTGGGAGATCTGAGCCAGGCCTAGGTGTACAAAGTTCCCCTTTCTTTATTCTGTTTATTCCCTTCCTCTCTTAATCTAAATGATAATCTCTTAGAACCATTTTCTTTATAGTGATTTCCCCACAAGGAGCTCCTAGTGTATTCTACCTAATGTCTTCAGGTGTTAGGAAATACCAAAGCAGAACCTAGCTGACCACTTCCATTTTCTACAGTGTCATCCCTCCTAAGACTGTGAACCCTGGAAAGAGTACTTCCTTGAATGAGACACTGGGGAGAGAGAAAGGGGGAAATACTGGGAGGACGAAAAGGTCAGTTGGTGGTATGGCTTAGATATTTGTCCCCTTTAAATTTCATGTTGAAATGTGGTCCCAAGTGTTGGAGATTTGCCCTTCTGTGGTAATGAGTGAGTTCGCACTCTGTCAGTTCAGGCCAAAGCTGATTGTTTAAAGGAGCCTGACACTACCTTTCTCTCTCCCTCTCTCTCTCCCTCCCTCCCTCCCTGTCCCTCCCTCCCTCTCTCTCTCCCTCTCCTTCCCTCCTCTCTCACCATGTGACACAACTGCCTTCTCCCCCTTTGCCTCCCACCATGATTGAAAGCTTCCTGAGGCCTCACTAGAAGCAGATGCTGGTGCCACGCCTCCCGTGCAGTTTGCAGAACCATAAACCAAATACATTTTTCTTTATAAATTAACCAATCTCAGGTATTTTTCTGTAGCAACATAAGAAGAACTAACACAATAGGTATTTCAAAAATATTCTCTAGCTCCATAATCCATTCCATTAAACCTCTGCCAGTCAAAAGGAGTCTCGTACATGTCATGGACTAGTAGATCCTCATATTCTTGGTTTTGTTTTTGCTTGCTTGCTTCTGTGAAATCTATTTTTCAATCTGTGGATTGGATCCATTACTGAGTCAGGATGTTGATTTAGTGGGTAAAGAACAGTATTTTTAAAAAGGAATATACTAGAATAGGAAAACTTATAGAGCATCATATAATATAAATCCAGATATTACTTTGAGGCTTGCATTTTATACACATCTGTGTGTGTTCTAAGCTGTGAGGAGATGCATCTCTTACTGTTGGCTCTAACCAAAGTTTTAAAAACACCATTTTAGGGCATTTTTAGCTGTTACTGAATTTGCTATACCATTTAGTTCTCTCTTGAATATTTTTGTTTTCATAGGAAATATCCTATATTAATTTTTTTTTTAAATATGGTGTACACGGGTTGTAACTTTGAGTCATTGCTTGATTGAAAATGTCACATTTTTGTCTTCATAGGGTAGAAAACTATTTTTCCTCTAAATTTTAAAGGCATAGTTTTGCTGATAAGATATATAACTTCCTCCCTCACTCTCTCACTTGCTCGCTCGCTCTCTCTCATTTTTTTTTAAGAGGCGGCATCTCACTATGTTGCCCAGGCAAGCAATCTGCTCACCTTGGCCTCCGAAAGTGCTGAGATTAAAGTCATGAGCCACTGTGCCCAGACCAAGATAACTTTATAGGCAAACTTTTTCTCCCTCTCCAGAAGCTTTCTGAAGTTCTACTTTTGGATGCTGAAATCTCTCTAGGGTTAAAGGTTTTTGTTTTTTTTTTTTTTTTTTTGAGACGGAGTCTCGCTCTATCTCCCAGGCTGGAGTGCAGTGGCGCGATCTTGGCTCACTGCAAGCTCCGCCTCCCGGGTTTACACCATTCTCCTGCCTCAGCCTCCCGAGTAGCTGGGACTACAGGCGCCCACCACCACGCCCGGCTAATTTTTTTGTATTTTTAGTAGAGACGGGGTTTCACCGTGTTAGCCAGGATGGTCTTGATCTCCTGACCTAGTGATCCGCCTCCCTCGGCCTCCCAAAGTGCTGGGATTACAGGCATGAGCCACCGCGCCCGGCCTGGGTTAAAGATATTTTGCTTGTTCTGCTGGGCACTTATTTCAACAAGCATTTTTTAAAATCACTTTTCAAACTTTTTCTAGAGTAAAATTTATTCTAGAATATGGTTCTATGAGTTTTGACAAACACCTGTAGTCAAGTAACCACGACCATGATCAAAATGTAGAACATTTCATCACTCAAACTGACCCCTTTGTGATGAACCTGCCCCCATCCTCACCCCTGGCCCATGTAAATTACTAATTTCAACAGGTATTATTTTTACTTTTTCAGTAGTTCTTTGACATTTTTGATTTCCACTTTTTGTCTTGCCAATTTGTTCTTTGTTGAACTAGACTATGTTGTAATATTTAACATAATATGATGTAATATCCTTTGAATGTTTTTTGTTCATGAATTACCTGTTTGAAGGTTTCTCGTCCATGAATTATCTGTTTCTCCCAGGGCTAGTGTGTTCTCTTGTGCTCAGATTCTGCCTCACTTTCTATTTACATCTTTGTCCTTTCCTTTATTGCTGTTGCATTTCCTTATGTGACTGGGTGGTCATTGGCTGTCCATTTTTATGAACAAGGAGGAGGCTGAATAGTATAGGTGGCCAAATGGGTTTCTGCTGCAACCGGAAAGGTCTGATTCCTGAGCAGGTCTTAAAGGTCTTGGCTGGGATGGCCAAGTGTGGGCTTCTACAGATGCTGTCAGTGGCCAGGGGTGTCAACAGAGCAGATTCCCTGCGGTGCATAGGTGGGAGTGGCTAGGGTGAACCCCTCATATTCTTGGAACAAACAAACAAAAGCAGGAAGGCTGTATTTTGGGGTCATGAGCTTTAGAACATCCTACCCTTGGGTAGTGCTGGCTCCTGCTTCCAGCGTCAGGTGTGGAGATCCACAAGTCACCTCCAGGCCTGGCTTCCTCATCTCAGGCCACAAGACAAGGTGTGTCCCCACATAGACAGGTTGTTCACTCTATTCAGAGGCAGGCCTAGGTCTATGCTGGGTTATAAATACCTCTCCTACCAGAGAAACGTGATTTGTTTAGAGGTAGTAAATGAAAGGGCAAGGGACCTGAGTAGCCAGCTGATGCTGATCACACTTCTTTGAATAGCCTGGTCATTGTGGCTTTGATGACATTTCCAGAGCCCCCTTCTGTCTGGTACTTTTGACTGTTGTGTTCTTTGATCATTGTGTTTCTGTTAACTATCAGCCAAGGTGTCTTCCTTCTTTTCTCGCTACCATCAATGCTTTTATTATTTTAAACAACAATCTCTCTTCCTCTGTACGTGCAACCTGAAAAGATATTGTAAATCGGATTACTTTTGCAAATTGTTAATACCTTACAAAATTGCTTTAGAAATTTTTATTTAACACACATTTAACAATATTTCAATTGGGCTTTGAGTGGGAGGTGCTTCATTTGCCATTAGTGTTGGAAGTGAATATATATGATTTTAAAAGTAATAAGTATATTTCTTTTAAAATATGGTGACTAGTTCAGACCTTCCACAAAATTCTTCTTATGCCATTAACCTGTGATGGAAAAAGTTTAAAGCTGGACATCTTTCTCCTCGTCCAAGACACTGAGCACAGCAGAAGTATAACGACCTATTGAGTTTTAGTTTAATTATATAATAAATGACCAGGAAAATGTATATTTAAAGAAGAGTGCATACATTTTGTAGTTAGACCCTGCTTTGAGGTATCTAGGGAAGAAAAGTGATTTGAGTTGCTTGGAAGAGGTGAGGAGAATAGTCAGGGGTACAGTAGTTGGCATTGTTGTTCATGATACTTAGTTCAGTTCAATTTTCTTTAACACATACTGGTGTAAAAGATGCTGATTTGGGGGTAATTTTCTCCCCCGCCCTCATTCTGTCTATCTTGAAAAATCATATTTAAATGAATTTAATGTACAAAATTTGGTACTTAACAAGTTGACATGCATTAGACAGTTTCTCCCTCTCCCCAAGGATAGCTTTCTAATTCCATAGTGGAGATTTTGATCTGTTGACTTTGCTTTCATATACAGAAAGTTAGGAAGAACTCATCTGCAAATTGTCCAGTAAGTAGTGTCTATAGGTTACAAAGAGATTTGTCCTGTAGTTCAAGATGTTTGGTAGCAGTTGCCTGGATATCTGTGTTGAGAAGAATGTTGGATCTTTTCTGGACTCTGCAGAGAAATGTGATGAGTAATGTCTGCCCTGAGCACGTTAGATAGCACTTGAGCTAAGCACAGATCATTATGCCAATGGTGGTGGTGGTTCTTGAAATTACTGTTATTAGCTACTACTTTCTCAGAATTTATTTAGGTTATTATTTTTTTACCATAAATGTATCTGTGAGACTATGACATTTTTATGGAAAATATATAGCTGAATAAATTACTACATTTTTATTTTGTGTAGGTCTTTTTTAAAAAATAGAATTATTTTATGCTTTCACCCACTCTTTAGGTTTTAATTATTTTAGTCACCTTGCACACTTACTATAGGTACAATATTTATTACTACCTTTAACAAAGGGATGGAATGTGATCTTTCTTGTGTTTCAAATATTCTGTTTTCTTATGGACTTAGTTTTGATATTTTTCAGACTATAATCATGGCTTAGATACTTGAGTTCCAAATCTGCCTGTGTTGCTCTTGGTTGTAATTAACAGTGCTGTCTGGTGTTCTGGGGCACAAATCATAGGGATGCTCAATGTCACACATTTCCTTGTTTGTATATTCCCTTGATCAATGCCATCAACAGCATAAGGAATACAGCCTTTACAATAAGCTCATATTCATATTTTTCTTAAACTGTGTGTGTGTGTGTGCGCATGTGCATGTGTAGGTGTGTGTTAATTTCTCACCTTTTATACCATAATTCAAAATCTAGGTGACATGTTCCAATAGCTGATAAGCATTTCATAGTGTAGTAGGTCAGGTTTACCATGTAATGCCTTTGATAATGCCTTCTTTTATAAATACGTGAGAGAAGTTTCAGTGGAGTCCTGCTGAGGAAGTAGATCAACAGGGGGCAAGTAGTTTGAGCCTTCGAGCCAGAGAGAGAATTTGGTAAGTTTTTAGACACGTTACCGACTGCCCTTTAGAACTTTTGTAACTCCTTTCAGCTGGGGCTTGTATTTCATGTATGAGAGGGCTACATTATCATAATCCATTTTTTGTTTTTATGTTGTCTATCAGCAGCTCTTATAAGGCTGCTTTCTGAAGGGTATTCCCCATTTACTTGCTGTCATTCACCATCTTTATTTCTTTAATCATAAAATTGATGTTTTGCAACCAGAGGCATTATATGTAAGTTGTTTATGGAGGTGCTACAGGGAAGAAAATTAGTGGTAAAATTAAGAACAAAACAATGGCGGTGGAAGGAAATTCATGAATAGACATTGCCTCAGTGCCATAGGAAGATGTGCTCAAGAAGCGTGTTAGACCCAAAGATCCTGGAAGAATGTCAGGCTCATGATAATTATAATTATGATATGTCTGTGGCTGACACTGAAAAGTGCTCATGACACACTAACAAGTTTTTACTTAAGTGATTCCATTTGGTAGAAAATACCCAGGTTTACCCTAACATGTAAGAAAGGTGCTATCTTAAAATGTGCCTACCTAATAAATGGTGATTCCTCAGGCAGTCCTCAAACTAAAATCAGTGGAAATGTGTAAAGTTGTTGATGCACTCATGTTACCATCTGAGTCTTAAAACATTTGATGTATTTTTTTATTTAAACGATTTTACACACCTGAAAAGATAATGCAAATAGGATTACTTTTGCAAATTGTTAATACCTTACAAAATTTCTTAGAAATTTTTTATTTAATTTTTTTTTTTTTTTTTTTTTTTTTTTGAGACAGAGTCTTGCTCTGTCCCCTAGGCTAGAGTGCAGGGGCGCGATCTCGGCTCACTGCAAGCTCCGCCTCCCGGGTTCACGCCATTCTCCTGCCTCAGCCTCCTGAGTAGCTGGGACTACAGGCACTGGCCACCACACCCGGGTTTTTTTTTTTTTTTTGTATTTTTAGTAGAGATATGCCACATGGTTTTTTTTTTTTTGTATTTTTAGTAGAGATAGGATTTCACCATGTTAGCCAGGATGGTCTCAGTCTCCTGACCTCGTGATCCTCCCGCCTCAGCCTCCCAAAGTGCTGGCATTAGAGGCATGAGCCACCACCCTGGCCCCTAAATTTTTAAACATCCTTTTTTATTCAAGGGGAAAAATTCCAGCCTATCTTATTCTCTCATATAATATGCCATTTTCCTTAACAGTTCTTTTTATAAATTTTTATTTTGTGAGTATATAGTAGGTATATACACTTATTTAGTACATGACATATTTTGGTACAGGCATGTAATGCTTAATAATCAGCATGGAGAATGGGGTATCCATCTTAAGCGTTCATCCTTTGTGTTACAGACCATCCAATTACAGTCTTATAGTTCTTTTAAAATGTGCAATTATTATGGACTATAGTCACCCTGTTGTGCTACCAAACACTAGGTCTTACTCATGCTTTCTATTTTTTGTACCCATTAACCAATTTCCATCTCCACCTCCTTGCCACTACCCTTCCCAGCCTCTGGCAACCATCCTTCTACTCTCTATCTCCACAAGTTTAATCTTTTTGAATTTTAGATCCCACAAATAAGTGAGAACATACACTGTTTTTCTTTGCCTGGCCTATTCCAGTTAACATAATGACCTCCAGTTCCATCCATGTTGTCGCAAATGACAGGATCTCACTCTCTTCTGTGGCTGAATATACACAACTCCATTGTGTATATGTACCACATGATTTTTATCCATTCGTCTATTGATGGACACTTAGGTTGCTTCCAAATTTTGACTACTGTGAACAGTGCTGCAACAAACATGGGAATGCAGACGTCTCTGATATTCTAATGTCCTTTCTTTGGGGAATATACCTAGCAATGGGATTGCTGGATCATATGGTAGATCTAGCTTTTTGAGGAACCTCCCAACTGTGCTCCATGGTAGTTTTATGATGTTTCCACCAACAGTGTACAGGGTTCCCTTTTCTCCATATCCTCAACAGCATTTATTATTACCTGTCCTTTGGATAAAAGCCATTTTAACCGGGGTGATGATATCTCACCGTACTTTTGAATTGCATTTCTCTGATGATCAGTGATGTTGAACATTTTTTCTATGCCTGTTTGGCATTTCTATGTCTTCTTTTGAGAAATGTCTGTTCAAATCTTCTGCCTATTTTTACGTTGGATTATTCGTGTTTTTTGAGCTCGGTATATACTCTGGTTATTAATGTCTTGTCAAATGAGTAGCTGGCAGATATTTTCTCCCATTCTGTCAGTTGTCTGGTCACTTTGTTGTTTCCTTTGTTGTGCAGAAGCTTTTTGACTCGTTGCCAGCCTATTTGTTCATGTTTGCTTTGGTTACCTGTGCTTGTGGGGCATTGATCAAAAAAATCTTTGCCTAATCCGATGTCCTAGAGAGTTTCCCTGTGTTCTTGTAGTAGTTTCACAGTTTGAGGTCTTAGATTTATGTCTAATCCATTTTGATTTGATTTTTGTATATGGCAAGTGACAGGGGTCTACTTTCATGCTTCTGCATATCAATATCTAGTTTTCCAAAACCATTCATTGAAGAGACTGTCTTTTTCCTCAGTGTGTGTTCTTAGCACCTTTGTTGAAAGTAAGTTTACAGTAGGTGTGTGGATTTGTTTCCAGGTTCTTTATGCTGTTGCATTGGTCTGTGTGTCTGTTTTTATGCCAGTACCATTCTCTCGGTTATTATATCTCTGTAGCATAGTCTGAGGTCAGGAAATGTGATTCTTCCAGTTTTGTTCTGTTTACGTAGGATAGCTTTGGCTATTCTGGGTCTTTTGTGGCTCCATGTAAATTTTAGAATTTTTTTTGTTTTTCTGTGAAGAATGCCATTGGTATTTTGATAGGGATTGCATTGAATCTGTAGATTGCTTTGGGTAGTGTGGACATTTTAACAACATTGACTCTTCCAATTCAAGAACATTAAATATGTTTCCATTTTTTGTGTTCTCTTCTTATCAGTGTTTTATAGTTTTCATTATAGAGATCTTTCACTTCTGTGGTTAACACTTAGGTATGTAAGTTTATTTATGGCTATTGAAAATGAGATTACCTTTTTGGTTTCTTTTTCAGATTGTTTGCTGTCAGCATATAGAAATGCTATGGAGTTTTGTATATTGATTTTGCACCCTGCAACTTAAATCAATTTGTTTGTCAGTTCTAATAGGTTTTTGTTTGTGTGTGAAGTCTTTAAGTTTTTCCCAAGACAAGATTGTATCATCTACAAATAAGGATAATTTGACTTCTTCCTTTCCAATTTGAATGCGCTTTATTTCTTTCTTTTGTCAAATTGTTCTAGCCAGAACTTCCAGTAATATTTTGAATAACTGTTGTGAAAGTAGACATCTCTGCCATGTTCCACATCTTAGAGGGAAGGCTTTCAGTTTGTCTTCATTCAGTATGATACTAGCTGTGGGTCTGTTATACATGGTTTTTATTATGTTGATGTAGGTTCCTTTTATACCTGGTTCTTTCAGGGTTTTTCTCATGAAGGGATGCTGAAGGGAACTTTACCAAATGCTTTCTCAGCCTCAACTGAAATGATCATATGGTTTTTGTCCTTTATTCTGTTGATATGATGTATCACACTGATTGATTTGCATGTGTTGAACCATCTTTGCATCCCTGGGATAAATTTCACTTGGTCATGATGAATGATCTTTTTAATGTATTGTTGAATTCTGGTTTCCAATAGTTTCTTAAATTTTTTATATCAATGTATATCACAGGTATTGTCATAGTTTTCTTTCTTTGATACCTCTTTGCTTTTTGTATCAGTTTAATACTGGCCTTATAGAATGAGTTTGGAAGTATTCCCTCCTCTATTATTTGAAATGGTTTGAGTAGGATTGGTATTAATTCTTTAAATGTTTAGTAGAATTCAGCAGTGAAACCACTGGACCTCAGCTTTTCCTTACTGGGAGACTTTTTATTATGGCTTTGATCCCATTACTTGTTATTGGTAAGTTTAGGTTGTAGATATTTTTCATGATTCAATCTTTGTAGATCTATGTGCTTAGGAATTTATCCACTTCCCCTACATTTTCCAAGTTAGCAGCATATAGTTGCTCATGGTAGCCACTAATAATCTTTTAAGTTTCTGTAGTATTACTTGTAATGTCTTTTTTTCATCTCTGATTTTATTACCTTGGGTCTTCTCCCTTTTTTTCTTTGTTAGTCTAGCTAAAGGTTGTCAATTTTGTTTATCCTTTGAGAAAAACAACTTTTTGTTTAATCTTTTGTATCCTTTTTTTAAATATTATACTTTAAGTTCTAGGGTACATGTGCACAACGTGCAGGTTTGTTACATATGTATACATGTGCCATGTTAAGGTGCTGTACCCATTAACTCATCATTTACATTAGGTGTATCTCCTAATGCTATCCCTCCGCCATCCCCCCACCCCACAACAGGTTCCAGTGTGCGAAGCTCCCCTTCCTGTGTCCAAGTGTTCTCATTGTTCAATTCCCACCTGTGAGTGAGAACATGCAGTATTTGGTTTTCTGTTCTTGCGATAGTTTGCTGAGAATGATGGTTCCAGCTGCATCCATGTCCCTACAAAGGACATGAATTCATCCCTTTATATGGCTGCATAGTATTCCGTGGTATATATGTGCCGCATTTTCATAATCCAGTCTGTCATTGATGGACATTTGGATTGGTTCCAAGTCTTTGCTATTGTGAATAGTGCTGCAATAAACATACATGTGCATGTGTCTTTGTAGCAGCATGATTTATAATCCTTTGGTTATATACCAGTAATGGGATGGCTGGGTCAAATGGTATTTTTAGTTCTACATCCTTGAGGAATCGCCACACTGTCTTCCACAATGGTTGAACTAGTTTACAGTCCCACCAACAGTGTAAAAGTGTTCCTGTTTCTCCACATCCTCTCCAGCACCTGTTGTTTCCTGACTTTTGAATGATCGCCATTCTAACTGGTGTGAGATGGTATCTCATTGTGGTTTTGATTTGCATTTATCTGATGGCTAGTGATGATGAGCATTTTTTCATGTGTCTGTTGGCTGTATAAATCTCTTCTTTTGAGAAGTATCTGTTCATATCCTTTGCCCACTTTTTGATGGGGTTGGTTTTTTCTTGTAAATTTGATTGAGTTCTTTGTAGGTTCTGGATATTAGTCCTTTGTCAGATGAGTAGATTGCAAAAATTTTCTCCCATTCTGTAGGTTGCCTGTTCACTCTGGTGGTAGTTTCTTTTGCTGTGCAGAAGCTCTGTAGTTTAACTAGATCCCATTTGTCAATTTTGGCTTTTGTTGCCTTTGCTTTTGGTGTTTCAGTCATGAAGTCCTTGCCCATGCCTATGTCCTGAATAGTATTGCCTGGGTTTTCTTCTAGGGTTTGTATGGTTTTAGGTCTAACATTTAAGTCTTTAATCCGTCTTGAATTAATTTTTGTATAAGGAGTAAGGAAGGGATCCAGTTTCAGCAGCTTTCTATATATGGCTAGCCAGTTTTCCCAGCACCATTTATTAAATAGGGAATGCTTTCCCCATTTCTTGTTTTTGTCAGGTTTGTCAAAGATCAGATGGTTGTAGATGTGTGGCATTATTTCTGAGGGCTCTGTTCTGTTCCATTGGTCTATATCTCTGTTTGGTACCAGTACCATGCTCTTCTGGTTACTGTAGCCTTGTAGTATAGTGTG